TTTTGCTTAATCATACTCATTTTGACTGACATTTAGGGTATTTCACGTATTATATCAGAAGATAAATTTATTATTTATTGCGCAAAAAAAAAGTTACTGAAATTTGGTAATGTAATTGACCGATTATAAAACATTGATATTATTATTTTTGTAATCTGAAAATGATTCCAACTAAAATGCCTTTTAAATTAAAAGTTTGAAAAGTATTAAAAGTTTTAATAGAACTTGCTTACAATGATTTCATTCAGAATTTCTCTTTCTTTTATTCTTGATTATCTATATTTATACTCCATATTCTATCTTCTTCTTGTTCACTTTGCCATCTCATATAAAAATTAGTGTTTTTCCACTCACCTTTGGCGCTGACGCCCAATTCCTTGCTGCAAGTCTGTGTGGCGCTGGCTCTCAGCTCAATGTCATAGAATTGCTTGCGGCAATTGTTGCATTGCAAAGCCTCGAGCACCAGGCACTCCTCCACATGCGCCTCCTCATCAGCGTTTGTCTCCTGGTCGGCGACCATGCCCTCGTCCCGCTGATAGTCGGCCAGACGCTTGCGCAGCGCACGATTCTGTCGCAATAGGCGGCAAATTTCGGCATCTCGTTCCGATAGACGCATATTGACTGTCTTCATGTCGTTCTTTAGCTTCGACTCGAAGCAGATCAGGGATTTGACAACGCAGGCTAGCTCCTCAGTGCGTCGGCGCTTCTCCTTGGCCAGTTCACGATGCAGCTGCTTGTTCTGCTGATCGTAGTTGGAGATCATTTGCAATAGACGCCGGCGCTGCAGACGCTCGGGTGAATTGGCCGCCGCTGCCGAGGCCGAGGTTGGAGCACCTGACGAACTGGAGCCCGAGGAGCTGCGTTGCACTTCGCTGCTGCTAGTGCTGCCGCCGCCATGTGTGTTTCTCGAGGATTGCGAGTTGTCCGAGTTCTGTAAAGATATGCGAACATGCAATGAAATTAGTCAAAAGCTCTAGCAATTACGTTTGTTGCCAACCCAAGCACACCTTATGGTTTCCCAGCACATGGAAGTGACCTCCGAAACCCCATTTGCCCACCATCGTTGTGGCTCAGTCGACAGCTCCCCAATGACAACTGACAACCGACAGCCGTCTACGATGTCAGCGTGCCGGCTAGCTACCGCTGATTGATAGTAGAGTTGCGACACCTTATCTCAACCGGGTCTTATTCTAATGACGCACACCAGCTGCTCTGGTGGTCGCCAACCGAAATTATCTACTGCATGTACTTCGATCCAAGGGAATATGCGTTCTCACATTCAAGGCGATTTGGATGATATGGATAGAGTTATTTTTTTGGATCTGCTTAGCTAAGCGGGATTTATTTTTAAACAACTGCTTTCATTTTTTATTATTTGGTCGAAGTAGTAGTTTTTTTTATATAATGCGCCAAGAAGCATGCTATAAAAATGTATGTGGATTTAATGTGAAAGTGAATTTTGGAATATGCGAATTGCTTTTACTCTACATGCAAAAAAGTATGCTACACAGGAGATATAAATTTGAGACCAAAGAACTATAGTTGAATGTATATAAAAGTTTTTTTTTATAATAAAGAATTATTTAAAAAAAAACTATATTAATATATATAAATTATTAAAAACTAAATTAAATTCCTAGCAAAAAAAACTGTAGAAAACTTCTATATTAATAAGATATTTTCACTACATATGTATATTCTTATTTTATTTTTAATTATTTTATTATTACATTTAGAATAAAAAACTCTTAAAAAAAAATGAAACTAAATTATATAAATTTTTAAAAACAATTTTTAATAATGCTCTGGAAGTTTTATTGAAGTTGATTCCAAAATATATTAGAAATGCTCTTATAAAAACATAATAAAAGACCTACTTTGCAATTGAAAACTTTAAACATTTTTTTTTTTAAATAAATAGTTAATATGCTAGATAAATGAAATGCTACTACTTCCATATATGTAAATAAAGTCCTAAAATTACCCATTCAATTATCAATTTAGTTATTATCAATTAAAAGTGCATGTTTTTTAAAGGGTATCTACTTGCTTACACAGACAAAATATCCCATATTCGCCACTGATCTATCTTATCAAATGTTTAACTGTTTTCGTTTTTGTGCCAAAAATAGAAAAGAGAAGAAAATACATCAAAATGCAACAAGTGTATTTTGATATGCGGCGAAAACCTTGTTAGATTTATGACTCTGTTGTTGTCCATTGTTGTATAATATTCTCTGTCATGTCATGTTATTTTCGACACTCGATCCAAATTCGAGTGTCATACGCCCTCATCGAAGGCCATTCGGTCGAGTCAGTTGACATCTGCGTGCTATATTGACCAACTATGGGCATAATTGCAGCTGCTGCAGAACTCTGGAGATGACACGTTCGAGCTGATACAGAAACATATTGAGGCATGCGCTATGCGAGTAATGCGACAAGCAATGCAGCCCGCATGATTTCAACACATAAAGCAAATCAAAGAAAAAATAAATAAAAATAAAAACAATTAATGCCAAGGCGAATTTGTGTTGACCAGCTCATTAGCCATTGGGCTTATCGCGGCAATTAGAAAGCCAAGAAAGCCATCGGGCACAGTCATCTATCTAACCGAGTTGAGCTCTTTGTGTGATAAGTAAAGCCCTAACCGCGTGCTCTTCCCACAATCAGCCATTTGGGCAATAATGCACGCGCGTGCCCCATAAATTGCCCCGCCCCTCAGATCTCAAGTGCAGATTGCGTCCATGTGATGCAGACTAAGTCTGACTAAGTAGATCTTTGCTTTAGATAAAAAACTGATTTAAACTACATAATGTGCATTCTGTGTGTCGTAATCAACGTGAAAAGAAAGTGAAAGATTACGGTTATCATTAGAAGGCACAAGTTTAGATCTTTATCTGTTTAGTTGATAAAACTGTCTAGCGTATTTTAAGTTTATCTAACCAAAAGAGAAATGTAATTTGAGTATACATATACATATGTAATGTCTATAAAGGTAGTTATTTGACTTTACTTTAAGTTTGTTTTACATATATTTTATATATTCAAGTAATTGATTTTTAATACATTTTTTTTTTGTAGGTATCATATTTCATAAATATAGATTTGTCAAGAATTTTTTTTTTTAAATAAAATTATACCATAATATAATGCATATTATTCCTTAAATCATATAATATTTTTACTTTTTCTCTTACCTCTGAGTCTGACTAAGTAGATCTTTGCTTTAGATAAAAACTGATTTAAACTACATAATGTGCATTCTGTGTGTCGTAATCAACGTGAAAAGAAAGTGAAAGATTACGGTTATCATTAGAAGGCACAAGTTTAGATCTTTATCTGTTTAGTTGATAAAACTGTCTAGCGTATTTTAAGTTTATCTAACCAAAAGAGAAATGTAATTTGAGTATACATATACATATGTAATGTCTATTAAGGTAGCTATTTGACTTTACTTTAAGTTTGTTTTACATATGTTTTTTATATTTTAGTAAATTATTTTTAATGCATTTTTTTTTGGTAGGTTTCATATTTAATCATTATATATTTATCAAGAATTTTTTTTTTTAAATATACCATAATATGATATATTGCATATAATCCCTAAAACCTTACATAATTTTTACTCTTTCTCTTGCCTCATTATCTCTTAATAATATGTTTTATGGAGATGAAAATGTATTTTAAATCTCTTTTATTTTGTACTTCAAAATCTTCATTACGATTTTAATTAAACATTTTTTACTTGATCCACATAATACAAAAAGTCTTTCACTAATACGCAAAATAAATATTTTTCATATCTGAATTTATAAGAAAAACTATATAATATGCATTATTATATTATCTCAAAGTATTATTATAATACTTTTATTATAATTATATTATTTATATTATATTATTTTATTATAATACTTTGAGATAATATAATAAATACATATTATAGTTTCTTTCAATCTATGTAACCTTTTATTAATTTATTTTTTTAATGTGCCCAGTTTACTCAAAATGTTATGCGAATATCACAAAAAGTTTTATCGATATATTCTATTCCCATGATTTTCTATGCAATGCTCTAGATATCTATCATATAATTTATATCAATATTATTCATGAAAAATGTTCTCTTATTTATATATATATTACTTGATGTTCAATACTTACATGCTCTGCACTCTGTTTCTGCAGTCTTGAACCGAATCCGAGTTTCTTGTAGGCAGGCGTGTGTCCAGCTGCCTGGGTATTGTAATGCGACTCCAGACTGGGCTCCGGGAGCTTCTGATAATGCTGCAGCGTTGCCGCGCCTGTTGGAGCCTTCGAACGCATATTCACTTCGCTGTTGTTGTTGTTGGTGGTGGTTGTGGTGGTGGGACTGGGTGTCTTGGTCTGTACCGCCTCATAGAACTCGCCGTCGCCGTGGCTGCGATAGCTGCCCTGCAGGCAATTGAAGCTGCCCCAATCCGCTTGCAGATTACTATAGAGCGGGCTGCTCTCTGCCGATGATTTATCCTTATCAGCTAGACTCTTGCCGCCACCAGCCTGACACTTTAACGTATCGTAGCCGTTGAGCAATTCACTGCGTATGAACTTCTCGATGAATTGGCTGGGCGACTTGGAGCTTAGATTGGCAAAGAATTTGCCGCCCGTATCGCTGAGGCTGCTCGTCGAACGGCGATGAGCGGCTGCTGACTGCTGAGGCTTGTGATTCTTATGGGGCAGACTGTTGCTCTTCTTTTGGCCACTGCTGTCATCCGGGGATGTTGTTTGCTCCGTTGTTGTTGTAGTTGTTGTCGTTTGGGGCAGGCCATAGATTTGGGAGCTGCTCAACAGACTGAACATGTTGTTGGCTAAGGGCTTCAAGGGATTGCTGCTGGCTTGTTGGCTGTGGGCTGATAATCAGGCGCAAGGCAACGACAGCTTCATGACTCTGCCATAAAAAGCGCTGTAAATACAATGGAGAGAGAGAGAGAGAGAGAGTGAGAGAGAGAGAAATGTTGTATGATTAGTTAACTTGCAAAGATGCCAAACAAATTCAATTAACGCGATTTGTATAACTCTCAGGCAATTGAAATTCCATTGTTTGTTACATATACCACAATGTTGTCTCTGCTGTAATAATTAAGTCAATTTGCCGCCTATAATGTGTCAATCGCTCACTTGTGTTGCAATCATTAAATTATCATGAGACACATCGCATTACGTTTACATGAAACCAAACCTAATGACATTTCACGCGTTTCAATAATTTATGTGCAATGTCTTCATTCGGAAGGTTCACCTGATTGTTGATATCATTAAATATTTACGAGCATGACCGTAGCTAGAATATCATGTGAGCATTGGGCAGTAGTTGAACATTGAAGTGAATTAAGTTTTCAACATTTGAGCAGTTTGATAATTTTAGGAAAAATTTATTACGAGATCGCAGTCAAACCGAAATTCTGTATTGTCTGCATGACAATACTCTAATTTTTTATTTGGAATTGAGAAGTGTAATGAAATCGGGTGTGCCCGAATAGGAGGTAACCGAAAACCTATGGACGTGTTGCTGTTGAATGATAGTTAAGAGTTATCAATAGAATTTTATTAGCCTATTTATGCTGTGCTAATGATGTTCTCTGAATATAGTTAAAGGCAATAAACTATAAACTATATATATATATATAAATAAAATATAACGTTAGATACATACATAAATACAGTTGCGGTCATAGTAATAATTATAGAAATAATAGTACGATTGTACACTAAATGCTGGACAAAAATACTCAGTCATAAAGTTCAATGTTCTAATATTCATTTTAAATGAATATTATATTTAGGAAATGTGTTATTAGTTTTTATGTTCATATAAATAAATATTTTTTATTAATATTTATTTTTATTTTTTTTTTATTTTTATTATTATTTTATTTTTATCAAGATTTAATACTCAGTCGCACAATTATTTTTATGTATGTAAACAAAAAATTTAATATATACAGCTATTTTATTTTTGTACTTAAAAATCAAATAAACAATAACAATAATATAGGTGCTGCAAAAATTTATATAGACTTATATATCAACTTCCGTCTATTATTATAGCTGCCAATCAATAACTACTGTTATCTAGCCCAAGTCCAAGAGTTTTTACTGCTATACATATAAAATGTTAAAAGCGCATATACAAATGAGCTTTCCATAGAAAAGCTTTGTGAACAATGTGCTTTCTTAGAGCTACGTGAGATATGTCAGCCATAAACTACTTTCAATTGATCAAGATTAATTAGATTTGTTATATCTCTAAAGATATCGTTTATTGATTAGGGCTATCGCATATTGTCCAAAACTAACCTTACACAAGAAAATAGTTTATTATTTGACTACAGTCAATTGTTGCGGCATTGATCAGAGACAAATATTAATGATACCCTGTTGTGGCTGTTGTTGTTGTTGTTATTATTGTTGTTGCTTAATGGTTCAATATAAGTTTTTGATTTTAATACACGTCAATATGAAAATCTGAATTTTTCATTGAATTTATTACAAGTTAAAGTCCAAATTTTTTCTTATCAATTAAAGGTTTTTTGGCTTTGATTATTTGTCCCCACAAACACACACATACACGCACACATACATACGCACAGTCATTAATTTATAACAATAGCTCATTGATTTATTAATTTTTGAACAAACAAGCTGAAAATTGTTTCATCGTCTGCGCTTTGTTTGTGCTGGGAATTTCTTGGCTATTTGTCCAAAAAAAAAAAAAAAACGGAGAGAGAGAAAAAATTATTGTTTATTGTGCATTTATTTGATAGATGTAGTCAGGTCAGCCTATCGGACCTTTGGTACCATTATAAAACTAACCTTGAAATTGGTGTTTTGGGTTAATTATATGACTCAAGAGCGAAGGTTCTCGTTGTAAACATTTATGGGGCAGCAGTTTATCGCGCGGTGTAAATGAAATTTTGATTTGTAAAGAGCTTCACAGAGTGTGTTGCAATATGCGCTTGGATTTTATATGAGGTACATATATAAGGTTCAGCTGGCATTACCTATGCCCAGGTTAAGTAACAGACTTTGTTCTTGTTGCACAGTTTTTTTTTTTTTTGGCTTTATTTTAGCCATTTTCATTCGAGTACGTTTTGGCTATTCGTTACGGCTATGGCAATAAATTTATGAACTGTAAAGAGAGGCAATTAAAAAGCGCCAAGAAAATGCGCAACAAAAGGCGAAGCTAACGACGCGTCGCTGACGTCGACGGCGACTGCAATAGCGGCAGAGACGTTGCGCATGCGCAGTCATTGGAGTGGGCAGCGGAGTTGCTTTTCCTTTTTCAGCGCGTGTTTGAAGCCAATTAAACTGAATGCAATGATCATTACACCTTATGATAATGACGTTAATGCAATGCAAAAGAAATTGAACGAATAAGTAAATCAAAAAGCACATTTTCAAATTAAAAGTATCATAAGTAAACATTTGATTAGGTTTTCTTTTTCTTTTTCAGCTTTTTTTTGGTATTATTCAAATGTGAGAAAGTTGGCTGAATAAGTTTGGTATTTGAAAAATCATGCAGTTAATCACATTTAAAGAGTGGGAAATTTATTTGTAACTGAAACGGATACGCAGAGAAAATGCGTTTCGATTTCAGTAATTTGATTTAAATATAAAAATCATTAGGCTGTGTGAGATTAGAATGATAATGATTCTAATGAAAGTGGCTCATGAATGATGCATCAAAGTCGAATTTGAAACGTATATTAATTTAGCATATCAAATAAATTTA